TTTTTTGTTTCATTCTTGCAGCATTGCAGATATTAATTTAAGAAATAACGTTATTAACTTTATTTTATTTTATTTTATTTTATTTCATTTTATTTTATTTTATTTTATTTTTTTTATTTACCACATTTTTTTTCCCACATTTTTTTTCAAATATTTATTACCAATCATTTTTTTCAATTATAATTTAGAATTTCACAATAAGTTGATCAACAATGATGTTAGAATTAGTGTTGGTCTCCGTAAATAGTTGTAAATCCAAAAGGTCAAGTAAATCAGAATTACCATCTTTTAGCTAACCACAATAGTTGTAGTAGTATTTACAAGCCAATTTACAACTTATTACAATCGCTAAAGGTTGTAATAATTCGATATCCCTATAAAAAATTTTTATCCGAATATTTCCATTATTTCTCCGTGTCTTCCGTAAAAATTCCGTGAAAATGATACATTCACGGATATCCGTGTTATCGAGATGAAAATTTCCATAATTTAAGGCTATAAAATTCATTAAAATGATACATTCACGGAAAAAATATGGAAAGATAAAACACGGATCAGATTTTTTACAGTGTATCTAATAATCGTTACTTACGGGCAACCAACATAAAATATTTTGATCATACATTTAAAAATTATTCAGGATGTTTCAGGTTCAAAAAAAAATTAATGTTCATGCTGTTTATGTTTTTTTTCGTTAACGCTACGCCACATATGTAAATTGTTAGAAATGAAACGTATTTTTGTTTAAAATTCTTAAAATTCATAAAAAAATAATATAAATAAATATAAATATTTTTTATTAATAAGATTAATAATTTAAGTTACATATCACTCTTTTATGTTAAAAAAAAAATGTGTAATAAAATATTACAATCTTTTGTCATTTTATATACTTTGTTACGCGTGACGCAATAAGATAAATCATTACCACACTTATTCACGCTTATTCGCGTATCAAAATGGTTAAAGCATATACCGCAGCGGAGTTAACTGATATAATCATGACAAAAATTGAAATGTCATAAGCATATTATTATATAGGCACAAAATTAATTGATAATCAAAGAAATCATTGATGAGAATTATTAAAATAAAGAATGTTATAAATCACTTATTTTTTTTAACCGAAAAAAATAAACAATAATATAAAAAGATCCTTTTTATTGAAGGATGAAAGTTTATAGATCAAAATATAAAGACTTTATTAAATGTAAGATATCAATTATCAATAGCCATTAAATCTGACTGTCTAAGATTAGTTTACAACTATAAGGTTTTGAAAATGGGATTCACTGCGGCAAGAATATTGTTTAGTATATAACAGTTTTAAAGACGTTTAAAATTTTTGCTCTATTATAAGTTAAATTACTGATAATGTTACAAAGTGATCAATGTTTTTGTCAGTAGAAGGTCATAATGTTCATATAAGTTCGTTCTAGTTACGACAGTAAGGATCAGAATGCTATTGGTTCAAATTTGAATGAGAATTCTTTGAAAATTAGCTTTATTCCGACTAACAACATGGAGTGATAATGTCATATTACGACATTAAGGATCGGAATGCTACTGGTTCAAGTTTTTCAATGAGAATTCTTTGGAAGACAGCTTTATTCTGAATAACAACATGGGATATTACGACAGCAGTAAGGATCGGAATGCTACTGGTTCAAGTTTTTGAATAAGAATTCTTTGAAAACAGCTTTATTCTGAATAACAACATGGGTGATAATGTCATATTACGACAGTAAGGATCAGAATTCTAATGATTCGGGTTTTTAAATGAGAATTCTTTGAAAAATAGCTATGGGTCATAATGTTATATTACGACAATAAGGATCGCAAGTTTTTGAATGAGAATTCTTTGAAAAACAGCTTTATTATAAATAACAAACATGTCATATTACGACAGTAAGGATCAGAATGCTAAGAATTCAAGTTTTGAATGGGAGAGCTCATTGAAAAACAGCTTTATTCTGAATAACTCAACCTGATACTCAGGAAAAAAATCTTTTTATGCAACGTTCGATCGTCAATCGACTACTACTCAGCATAATTTATAGATTTTTTTCGTATTAATTTAATGGATTATTTTTAACAAAGAATAAATGATTTTTGGGGAGAATGTCGTCAAATTTTAAATAATTTAATATTTGGGATTTGGGATTTAGATTTTAGTGGGTTGAATTTTGATAACATGTATAGAACAAACTATTTCTCAACTATATTAGCTTGATTGGTTTGATGGAAATGTATTATGTATGATATACATGAGAGCAGCGATGTACATTAGAACTTTCAATGACTTTTTATTGGAATTTGAAGGTTTGGAATTAGAAGAATTGGTAGATTCCAATATTCCAATAATTTTCGACACATATTAGTTTATATATATACTTATGTGCATTGTGTATTGGAAGCTTCCAATAAAAATAAATTTATTGACATTGGAAGGCTTGGAATTGGAAGAATTGGAAGATTCCAATAACTTCCAATCTTTCAATGCACTTCACTGCATGAGAGAGGCCATGATCGGTCACCTAGTATTATTGGCCGTTGATTTTCAGAGAGAAGTAAAGAATTGTATATTATTAGAGATTATAATCATGATCGCATTCAGACAATTTCAGGTCATCCAATTTCTTTTACCATTAGATTAATCGGATGGGACATAAGTTTTTGATTATTTTTCAAATTTATGCCAGATCTTTCATAAAATTATGGGAAAGTAATAGGTCAGGTTCTGTTGACTAGCATTTCCTTTCACATCAGCTTGACTTTGGAATTTTGAATTTTTAGAATTAGTAACATCAGGGTATCAAACGTATAAGCTATCTTTTAATGCTCAGATTTTAGAATTGTCAATAAAAAAATAGAAATGTTTTTTATATCTTGAAATATCTTGAATTATTACTCCTTTATCATATATATACAATTATGATTTAGATCTAGAGAATGTGAGAAAATATGAATCCTTTCATAATACATAGGATTAGTACGAGAAATGTTACATCATACACAGAAGTAGAAATTGCGATGGGAGAAATGAATTTAAAAATTATTCAAATAATTAGCAACGAATCATTTATTTCTAAATTATTCCAATATAATACACATTTAAAAGACGTCTAATAAAAAAAAACAATACCAAAAGAAAGAAATAATAAAAAAAAACAAAAAAATAAAAGTTATGTATATTTATATATATGTATATAACACTGTTGACTTTAAACTGTAAACCAACAAAAAGATTATTACACCCATTTTAATTGACTAAAAAAATTCCACAAGACAGATGCTTTGTTGACATTGAAATTAACAGCCTTCTGAGCATCGCTCTTTTTAAATTCTTTACCTTCCATTTTGTGTTTTTGAGCTGCTTTCAGAATATTATATTTAGCTTTTAAATATATGGATGGAGTTAATCTCAGTTTAGAACATAATGTTTTTTCTTTCTCATGTAAGAGATTAAAACCAGCTTCTTGAGAAATATCCATCGATTTGGTCCTATCCCAAAAAATTCGAGGGTTTTTGTAATTCAAATTCTGATGGTTAATAGGCATTTGGTCGATTTCTTTGACGATTTCGTTTAGAGTGTTTATATTTTGTGGTTTTTGATTATTATGAGAGTCATTTTCGGTTAAGAGGAGAGTGGGATTCTTCGCATAGATTTCATAAATATTGATACGATAAACAAAACCATCACCAGACGAATCTGGAGCTCTCATTGGATATGGTTGTTTGCGAAAGTGTTTTCGAGGAATATTTCGATAGTAAAGTATACTAGTAGATGTTTGTGATTTTGCAGCCATATTGATCAATAAAAATTTTTGTTTGAATAAAAAAAAAAAAAAAAGTAGTTTTTATTTAAAAAAAAAGAAAAGAAAAACAAAATGTATTCTGATTTATACAGTGGTGTATAATGACGAAATAGGTTGAAAAAATTTTTTGTTTGATAAGTTTATTAATTCAATTACCAATCATTTTCGATTATTAACAAAGTCGATGTTTCATAAATTTTAGTACTTTACCGAACTAAGATTAAATTGCAAACAATTTCTTCCTTATATGGAATTAGAGAGTTCTTTTATATGACGATTTTTTAAAAATAAAAATGTAATCGTCATTAAGAATTAATATAATAAAACTTAAAAATAAATTTTTTTTATGAGTGATTATGACTTGATCAATGTATATATTATATACATAATAAATATTTATAAAAAAAAAAAATTTAATTATTTTTTTTAAAAAAAAAATCTTTATGATAAATTAATTATATAATTTCACGAGAATTTCTCTGTACTTAAATATTCAACATTTATATAATTTATTCAAATTACAAAATTACACAAGCATTCTCAATAATCCGGAACTTCGATAATCCGGATCCTTCGATATACCGCCGGAGTTGAGTCTAAATCGGATATATTTTAATTACAATAATAATATAACGGAATCTTCCAATGAACCAGAACAATCCAGAACCACCATAAAACTGATTATATGTTCCCAAATAAAACTGAACTTTTTCTTTTTTAATTCCGGTATCCCGTTTTTAAGTAGTTTACTTTACCGGTACCGAAAGTCACTTGATCAAGATTTCATTTTTGCCGAAATCTATTTTTATTAAATTTGCCCGAGATACCGTTTTGCCGAAAAGAAAATTGTGCCGAAAATGTATTTATTTTTATTTTATTTTAATTTATATATACAGTATGTATATATAATATATATATATATTGATATATATTTATTTTTATTTGTTTGTTTGTTTGTATAAAATTCATATAACAAATAAACTTAGTCATTGGAATATAATGTTTAAAACCAATAATTATATTTATTATTTTTAAATTTTTTTTTTTTTTTATTTTATTAAAAAATTAACTTTCGGTAAAACGGTATCTTGGTAATATTGATTTCGACATTATGACGCTTCGGTCAAGTGTTTCGGTAAATACGGTGGAAATGTACCGTAACCGCATATACATCTTAATAATAAATTTAAAAGTTTCCTTCACTATTTCTATTTATAAATACCATTTTTAAATATAGTATAATATCTTAATAATTCATTTTTTTAATTTATAAATTAAATTTTCATCTTTTAAATCGTTTAATTACATTTTGAAGAGAAAAGATAATGGTCCCTTGGAATGCGCAAAGAAAGGCGAAACTTTGTATGAAGTATTGAGAATTCACTTTGAATGTTATTTATTAGATGGTATATACGGATAAAACATTATACGTATATGACGTACATGTATATCTGTATATCTGTATATCTGTATATCACGCGAACTATTATATATATGATATATATGGACATTTGATATTTTACCTGTAACCTATCCAATTGATTCTTCTCTAATTTGCGTGAATATAGCATGATAAATATGGTTAATATCTGCATAAGTGAGTATCGGTAAAATGTAACGTGACTTTCAATCTTTTACCCGATGTTCGATAAAAAGAATAATATGTAAAATTAATAATATGTAAAATTGACGAAAATCATATGCAAATGACCTTTGATCCATTATCATTTTAGACCGGTTAAATACTTGATAAAAGACCGGTTTACGTATATTACAGTACTTTCCATCCATACTATAACAGATAAGTAGATTATAAATCATAAAATGAGTGCCTTATTTGAATGATTTCACGGAATATGTTTTAGCACACACCGATTTTAACGTCACACACACAACCACCTGATCATCAAAAATCATGAGAATATATTATTTCTAATTTTTTCCCAAAAAGAAACATTTCTTTCTAGGAAAGATTTTATTTTTATTTTATTTTGACCCAAGATAATAATAAAGAATTTTTTTTTTTTAAAAAAAAAAAAGAATCAAAAATGCAAATTTTCGTTCGAGGATGTCTTGGTTATGGTGGTAATGCTTATACTATAGAAGTTGAATCTTCAGATAGTATTGCACAAGTGAAAGAAAAAATTTCTAATAAGACAGGTATTTTTGTAATTATGGATTATTATAAAAAAATTTTCTCTTCCATTTAAAAGAAATAATAAAATTTTAAAATTGATAGGTGTGCCTTGTGCACATCAAAGATTAATTTTCGCTGGAAAACAACTTACAGATGAAAGAACATTATCGGATTATAATATTCAAAAAGAGTCAACTCTTCACTTGGCTTGTAGACTTCGTGGATGTAAGTTATCATTTTGAAATGGTGAACATTTTTTTTTATTTTTAAAAAAAATTTATTATTAATTTGAAATTTTTAAAATTATGCAACGAAGGCTAATATGTTAGATTAGAGAATCAGATTATCATCGGAACTCGGAAAGAATCAATCATGCTTTTTAAATGAAGATTTTTATCTTTTATAAATTTCTGTGTAATGCATATAACTTAAATAACATTAACTATAGCGTTATTAGGGTATGCCGTTTTGGACAATAAGCGCGGCGCATTTATTAAATTTCAGCATCGAAATAAAAAGTTATATTATAAATAGCGGTTATCATTTTTTTTTTAAAAAAAAAAGAAAAAGAAAAAGGAATTCTTAACAAAGCAAAAATTATCGTTGCGAAATCCTTATTATTCAACCTATTTTAATTTTAAATCGGGAATTTCGGATACTATTATCCGTAAATTTCCATAGAATTCCCATGGAATAACAGCTAATAAAGTAAAGTTACTTTTAAACCTGATTACACAATATAAATAAGTACTCATTGAAACGGTTCAGATTACTTTTTATAGAAACAAAAACAGTTTATAGTATTTATATATGAACTTACCTTAAAATTATGACCTGAGAATATTTCTTTAAACCATTCTAAAATGCAGATTTTTATTTATGCTGATCGAACGTATACTATCGAAGTTGAATATCATGATACTGTTGCAATTCTCAAAGAAAAATTTTATAAGAAAACAGGTAATGTTTATGCTATTAATAATAATAATAACACTAACACATGTGATTTACATATTTTAACAAACATACAATAAATGATAAGGTATTAATTGTGAAAGACAAAGATTAAGATTAATTCATCGTTGCAAACAACTTGAAGATACAAGATCATTATCAGAATATAATATTAATAAAGAATCAACCGTTTATTTGGTTCATACGCTTCTTAGTTGTAAGAAATGTCCCGGTCGTAAGTATTTTGTTTTTTTTTTTTTTGTGAAATTTAAAAAATTTAAAACAATTAAATAATTTAAAATTTATTACAAATATTTACAAACAGAGAAATGATTCAATGTATATTGTTTAGAAAAAAGCAGAGATAAACTCTAATTTAAATACGAAGAGCCGTGTTACGAAATCTCTTTGTTCATGTATATATATTTTTGTGTTTTATAATAAAATTATCCTTTTTATATCTTTACAGTAAGTTCTAGTTAAAGTATTGTAAATCCTTTCTGGTAAATTGGTGTTAATTTGCATTGTATAATACCCGAAATCAAATGAAAGTTACTAATGAGTAATTGAGTATTATATAATTTTTTTAATAAGGTATTATGGTATGTATCTGGTATAAGTGGGCTACATGATCTATTATTTATTACTTACATACTCATACAAAAATATGAGATATTGTGCTCATTATCAATAATTTTGGCAGAACTTCTAATTAAAAAAAAACGCGATCTTAACAGTGCATTTTTTTTGGATTATTTACTGTCTTCTTAAATATTTGAGTAGTGGAGAAATTTGTACTGAATATCACGTGATGAACGGGAAAATTCGGGTATAAATTTTTTGTCAAAAATTGAGACACAAAAATGATGAAAAATTAAGTGAAATGAACTTGCTTCTGGCCAATAACTATTTCATGAAGTCTTACGTACAGGCCAATGCCAATTGATTACATACATTTTTATTTGATGCACTATTTAAAAACAAATAGATATAATTAGAAAATAAAATTTATGAAATATAATTTTGCAAATTATAATAAAACAAAATGTAATATATAAGATTTTACATTAAATATATACCATTATTATCCAAAGAAAGCTCAAAAGTTATAAATCAACCTATTTTATTTATTTTAATAATTAATATTTCAATTGTATAAAAGAAAAAGCCAATTATATAAAATTTTCCTAAGTATTATTATATATATAATAATTGTTTATGATACAGACCATATAAAGCAAAGTTGAAAATTAAAACAAATGAAAAAATGTAAAATCTGAAAAATCCATCTTTTTATTCTAATAAAATAGATATATTATATATATAAAATTTATATAATAATTATTTATATAGAATTATCCTTATAATTGATTTTATAGCAAATTAATTCTTTTTCCAATTTTTTTTTACTTCTAAAAAAATGTCTTTTTCAGTTACTTTGATAGAAATAACTTTAATATATTTACCATAAAAATTGATTTTACAGCCAATAAGTTTAATTGCTTTATTAAAAGAACAATAAGGTTTACTGTAAAATCAAATAATTAAAGAATTTAAATAATAAAATATTTTTTATTATTTTATAAAAGTAATTTAAATAAATATTTTTTTAATAGTATTTATGCTATTTAAACATAAAAATGAAATATATAGATTTGGTTTAACTTTATCAATGAATTATTTTGATTTATAAAAATAATAAAAATATTCATATGAGTTTATTAATTTTACTTTATAAATAAAATGCAAATATATACTAGAATCCATTTATTTATAAGATAAGTCACCTTTAGGCCTAAAGTAAAAATTATATATAAAATTCTTTGCAGATCTTACTATAAAAATTTTATGTTATATTGTTATGATTTTTTCTTTTTTAACTAATTAGCCAATAGAATTTTTAAAAAAAGTAAAGTAAAAACTATTAGTAAAGGGCCAATTTCTATGATTACCTTTATTATAAATAAGTAATGTTACGATCTGGATGAATCCATGATCCACTAGGTTAATCTGTATTTAAATTTGTGGATCTGAATATCTGTCACAAATTTACAGATCCATCCGGATATCTGCCAGATTTCATTTGAATATAATAGATTCATGGATTTACGCATAAGTTATTACTGATCATCAGTAATTCTGGCCAAATTATAAATTTTGCCAGCATTACAATTTCCATTTTAGGCATATATGTTATACAAGGATTTTAAAAGAAAATTTTATTTTTTGGAAAAATAAAATTTTGTGAAACGGCTATCACTAAAAAAGGAAACAATTGACATACTGGCGCTATAATTCTGGTCGGAATTATAACTTGGCCAAAATTACTGTGAATCTTCGGTCTGACAGATTATCTGGATCTATCCGCTTTTCTATCCAAATCCATCCGTCATCTGATCTGAAATTCTAACAGATGATCTGAAAAGTTTCGAATCAGATGAATCCACTAGATTGATGGATTGATCTCATCCAGATTATAATACTATAAGTAAGCAGAATCTTACTGGTTAAAAGTATTAGACTAGTTACACTAAAAATTAATAAAAAAATAAAAAAAAACAAATTTCTAATATTAAAAAATAAAAATTACAATTAAATTAATTTAAAATTTAAAGTTTAAAAAATTATTTAAAAGTATTTTTTTTATTCAATTAATAGTAAAATTTTGCAGATACAAAATGGCAAAATTCTTCTCTTTAACTGGAGCAGTTATAATAAAATAATAGTAAAAAACAATTTTTTAATTAAAAATGGTTTATATTTCAAAAATCAGAAAGATTAAATTAATAATTATTAAAAAATTCACTATTAAAAATCCTTAAAATTTAGCCAAAATTAATGATTTATTATAATTTATTATTAATAAAATTTATGATTTTCATTCTCAATGATTACTAATTTTAATTTTTAAAATAAACTATATTTTAATTAAAAAAATTATTTTTTGCCATTATAATTAATTGCTCTGGTTAAAAGGTTAAAAATTTTGATATTTTGAAAATTAACTATATATTTATTTATATTTACAAATTTTACTATTATCATATATCGCAGATCATAGTACCTTCTTATGTATAATACTTATAAAATTATATAATACCCAGGGGTATTTTTCATTTACTTTGTGATCTAATAATTAGATTTGAGCCATCTTTTTTTTTTTTGTTTAATAACTCCATTAAGCTTTTTAAAATAAAAAAAAAATCATTCAAATTAAACTAATAGATTGTAATATATTTGCAAAAAACGGAATTTTTAAATTTTATTTAATACCTAGGATACAGAATTAAACCCCAATTTTTGCAAGATATTTGAAATACTATGGCCCATAATATACAGTAATTGGATACAAAACTGATTTTTTTGTTTTTTATTTAAATAAATCTAATAGTATGTAATTCTTTTATTACAGCATTACAGTTTTTTTTGATCTTTTCAAATATTGCATTAATTAAATAAGTTTTTTTTTACTTATTCTTTAATTGCTTTATATAAAAATAGAGATATTAGTAAAATAATTTAAATAAAAAGTTTAATAAATTACTTATTTTATTAGATTAAAGTTATTAACCTTATATTTCTTTAAATTTAAATAAGACTATCTATTATTAAGATAGATCACCAGTAATAATTTTATTTTTATATAAAATCTTACCTTATAATTTTCTTAAATTCTATTAGTTAGTTAATTAAAAAGAAAAAAAATTATAATAATATAATATAAAATTTTCTTTTATAATAAGATCTTTAAAGAATTTTATATGTAAATTTTATCTTAAGTCATAAAATAATTTATTTAAACAAGATTCTATCTAAATATAATATATTATACAGTTAAATCTTGATATAGCGAACCCTTGATATAATGAATTTTTCAGACAACTATAATAAATTTCCCTTATTATAACGAATTAACTAATCAAATCTCTTAAAATCTTTACTATAATCTTATAGCGAAATTGAAGTCTGGACCTTAGGATTTGTTATAACAAGGGTTGACTGTATTTATTAGTATAATATCTACTAAATTCGCTAGAAAAAATCATCTTCGAATATAAAGATGATACTTTTCCAGAACTTAAAATGAGAAACCGCTTAGAACTGATCTGTGGTCTAATATCAAACACAATTATGGATAAACTCAGAGTTATTACATCAAATAATCAAACATTTTTACAAAGCCTTTAGAAAACACGTTAGATTCCAAGATGCACATAAGTGACATAACTAAATGAACTCGAAGCTACTTTGGCATTAGAAAAAAAGATAAATTGTTTGCTATAAAGTTTTTTGCTTTTGAACAACAATTAAGTTATAATTCCATACTTAACAAGAAAAAAAATATACTTTGTATTAGTATATAACCTGATGCAAGAATCATTTTCTGCAATACTTATCAGATGGATTAAGACAACCTTGGAAGTCTAGTAAAGGTTTGAAAGATGTTAATAATAAAGATAAGAATGAAAATAATTTGGTTGTAGCAAGACCCCGCTTATTTATAATAAAGGTCACTGTAGAAAATTGGCCCTTTACTAATAGTTTTTACCTTACTTTTTTCTTAAATTCTATTGGTTAATTAGCTAAAAAGAAAAAAAATCATAACAATATAACATAAAATTTCCTTTTATAATAGGATCTGCAAAGAATTTTATATATGATTTTTATCTTAGGCCTGGGGGTGACCTGTCTTATAAATAAGTGAGGTCCTGTTATAGCATAGTAAGTCCTGTGATTATTTTTACTTTAAAAATAAAGCCTTTGGTTAAAAATAATTCATTTCACATATGGTCTACTTATTTAGCATAATCAATCACTCAACAGTGTTAAGGTTGCCTGCCGAAACTCATTTGGCCTGATGCCGAAAGCCGAAACTCTTTTATTAGTGCTGAAACTGCCAAAATGCCAAAATTCCAAAACCTGCCAAAATGCTGAAACTGGCATAGTTTTGGTATAGCTAATACTAACATCTTGATATAATTTCGGCATAATTTCGGCATTCTATAATAATTTTTTTTCATTAATTTAATTCCAATATATATATACGTAATTAAATATTTTATTATATTATTTATTTTATTGTAATAAACCAATTTTTATAAACAATGGTATACTATAAGAAACACACTCGTTTCTTTG